TTATCATAAAATCTCCATACTTCACACTCAAGTAAGAATGGGAGAGGATTTTCTGGAATTCACCCATTGGCTCTTCTAAAGAGCTACACACAGAACTCAGACAGCTCTTTTAACGTACTTTTATGTTCTTCCTGCATTTGACCTGCAACATGGCCTTAACGCAGTGCTCATTCTGCAAGCGTGTAGAGTAAGACCCACAGACTCTAAGTAATCTGCCTGAATTATTCACTTTGTCTAAACCGACCCTCTTCACAACCAGAATTTAAAGCCAAATTTACAATTTATAATTATAATTTTATTTCAAAACTGGAGAAATCTCCGAGTAAAGCCAGTTTTTATAAAAACTATAATTTGAATAAGTCTTTATAAATTTATTTGTTCATCTACAGCATATTTTTCTTGACGAGAAAGTCTGCCAGGGCAAAAATAATATTTATGCACAGAATCATGGTGCTTCAAAGCTGTCAGATAGATGGAAGACGTCAATCACCATCTAACTGATTTGTCAGCAGAGGAAACAGAGGCCTACAGAAGTACAATGACTCTCACAATTTTCATAACTTATTAACAGTAGAAGTCAAACTGGAACCTGCCTTACCTATTCCCTATATGATATTGTGTGAAGTACTGCTAACTTGAGCCTAAGTTGTAAGCAATATTTCATTACAGTTCAAAGTATGTAAATAATGTATTAAAAGAGCAGGAATTGACATCGTCTGAAAGAAAGCTCTCCCCAGCAGAGGCAGGTTTTCTTTGTTCTCTAACAGTCAGGACTAGGCACAGATAGATTCTTTCTTCTCTTACTTGAATTTATGTCAACTACAAGATGTGTAAAATAAAGCATATTATTTATTGACTCTTCTCCGAGTGACAGACCCTTGGCATATATTATACTCGATCCATGCCATTTCAAGGTGGATATTATCATACTCTTTTACAGCTACAAAAGTGGAATGAAATAAGAGACTTGTTCAAGATCAGATAGCTAAAAATTTACTGAACTGAGAGCAAAACCCAGTTCTGTACAATGCTAGATTTTGTGAGGAATATCCTGCCTCAGAAATAAAATTATCCAAAAAGTAACTGTTATGGTTTGTGTCTGGGTGTCTCCCCAAGGCCACATGCAGTCATGCGGTGGGCTTTTAGAGTTTATGATTGATCCATGGTCCAATGCTGGGATTATGGGTGTGAGTGCTACACCTGCCCTGGGGTGGGTAGTTTGCATCTGTAAGGGAGGACAAGAGGCTTGTTCTCCCTGCCTCTCCTCCATTTTGCTCTTGTAGCTTTGCTGTTCTGCTGCATTTACGGTTGTCCTCTGCCATGTTCCACTCTGCCTTGGAGGCAGCGAAGCATGGACTGAAACCTCCACAAACTGTGAGCTACATAAACCTTTCCTTCCTTAATTTTGGTGTCATGTATTTTGTACCAACAAGGAGGGAAAAGTAACTAAGACAGTAACATTCAGAATCTCATGTGACTGACAGTCCTAAGAGCCTATCCGATACTTATCTTCCTTTCCACCCTTATTACATATAGAACGGAGCAGTTGTATATGCAACTAAAATACAAAACTGTTTCTTTTGCAACAAAAAGTGATGATGTTACGTGAAAATTACTGGTGGAGTTTCCAAAGAATCTCTTGTAAGGGGGGATTGAATCAGATGATTGGATACCCTTTGTCACTGCATTTTTTTCATTCTTTCTTGTGTAAAATGCAGATATGATGCCTGGGTGCTAGTACTCAAATATTCAAAAACCTTTGAGAATTAAATCATAGTCTAAAATGACAGAACAGAATTACATAAGAAGAACAGATTCCTAATTACCTAGGAACTACAGTTCTAGAGCCAAAATGTCAATGATCAAGCTTCCTTTGTTCAGAAGACTGGGGTCATAAGGTAAAGAGAGGGACTAAATCTCCAAGGGTAATGTCTGGTCTGAGGAGAGCGAGAACACACAGCGTTTCCACTCTTGGCAGAACGTGAGGGGAAGAGGTGGTTCCTGCTAATACGGTACGAAGAAAATAGCTAAAATTGTAACGAACACGTAAGGACCAGAACAGGCCAGTGAAACAGTATAAACAAGTGGGATCCTCCGAACCAGAGAGATTTGCTCCCACTTATAATCTGCTTAATAAGACTGAGGCCCAGGCAAGCGGCTCCCAACTAAACAAGCCCTTTTCTAATCCATAGCAAAATTTAGCCTTTGAGGACAGAAAACCCTCATAAAAATTTCATCATGGTTTCCAGGGAAAGGGAAGAAGGAAAAACCATACATTATAAGTCCCTGATACAGAGGCAGGAAGCTCTGTGGTGCCATGAAATATAAAAATAACAGAGATCTGCCTACACTGGGAGAGGAGCGGGACACCCTCTCCTACCAAAGAGCCACACACATTCAAAGAGGAATCTGGGAACCATGGGAGAAATAAGCCGGAATGAGGGAAGAGCCACGCACCTACACCCAGGCTAACAGACAGGTCAGAGGAAAAGGACCGAGACCGCTCCTGTCCCCACCAGAGGCGCTCCGCCAAGTAACAAGCAGCAGCACGTGGCCACCGTCTTTATCTCACTTAACCTTTGCAGTAATCAGAAGACACGGTACCATCACGGCTACATTCCACAAGCGGAAAGCCTGCGGCACACAGAGATAAAATACTTTACACAAAATAACACAGGCGAAGAGGCTGCAGTGCGGATCTGAACCAGGCTAGCAGAACAGTTCTGGGGCCCAGAGTTTCAAGTAAGTATGTTATGCTACGTCTTCAACATGGGAAAAATGATACTCCCTGCACTGAATGTTCTTTTACTTTCTCCATTGTTAGAATTATTGTTTATTATGATAGGTAAACTAAGTCTAAAATATTGGTCTTTTATGAACCCAACATATTAAATCTTTAATACGGCATTCCATTCCTGTTTCATTTTAAGCTCTGCTAAGGAAGGAAGACAAATCACGTTAGGATGACATATTTAGCATTCCAATTTATAACTGAGTTCCATCATAAATCACCCTGCTCCTGCTGCCAGCATAAAGTGAACATGTACACAGGAGATCGTCACTACCCACAGGGATATTTCTGCCTAAAGGTCGGGAGACTCTTCCCCTTAAACAAAAACCTATTTAAAGGAGAACACTAAGAAAGAAAATCAGACTACTGGCAACATCATTTTCCACGTAAGCCAACCTGCCCCCTCAGTTATTTCTCAGAGGAAATATTGGTAGAGTAGCCAATTGCAGAAACTCAGGAGCTTAACAAGATGAGCTCAAATGTCTGCTCTGCAATTCTTTTACTTCAGTGCTCTTGAACAATTTGCTTAATTAATGTCTGTCTCAGTTTTCTCCCGTGAAGAATGAGAATGACAGTCACTAGCATTTAAAACAAGCTGGACACTTAGCAAATCCTGGATTGTATGGTGGCACACACCTACAATCCAGGCACTCATGATCTAAGGCAGAACTCTAACCCAAGAGTTCCAGGCCAGTCTGGGGTACACAGTGAAATGAGTTCAAGGCCAGCCTGAACTACAAAGCAGAAACTTGTCTCAAAGTGTGTGTGTGTGTATGCGCGCGCGCGCGTCTCTGTGTGTGTGTGTGTGTGTGTGTGTGTGTGTGTGTGTGTATGATTAAATGCAATGCTTTACATAAATTGCCAAACCCACGGAAAATAATACATGCCATCAATACGTGATAATTCAAAACTCTTTCTAAAATTTTCACGTCGATACTGGCTAATACAATTATCATTTCCATCACTCTTTTCCATGTAAGGTAAAGAAGGAGAAAAACTTTCACAAGTCAAATCTATACTGAGATTCCATTTCGCTCCATCTGAATGGCTATCATTAAGAACACTAAAAATAACTTATGCTGGTGAAATTTGGAGGAAAAATAACCCTTTTACACTGCTGATAGAAATATAAATTAGTACAGCCACTATGGAAATCACTATGGAGGTTCCTCAAAAAACTGAAAATAGAGCTTCATTCAGCTATGCCATGCCTTGCTATATATCCAAAACAATGAGTCAGCATACTATAAGGATACCTACACATCATGCTCATTGTAGCACAACTCACAACAGCCAAGATATGGAACCAGCCTGGGTGCCAAACAAGAGATTAAAGAAAATGTGGTATATATTCACAATGAAGTATTTCATTCAGCCATAGGGAAAAATGAAATTTTGCCATTTACATGAAAGTGCATGGCTCTGGAGACCCTCGTGTTGAACAGAATAATCCAGACTCCAAAAGACAAATCTCGCATATTCTCCCTAATATGTGGAATCAAAAAAAAAAAAAAAACAGGACAGCAAAGAGGTGATTACTACTAGAGAAGAATAAGAGGGAGGGAGAGAGGGATTAAGGGTGAGTAATGGGGAGATGATATGAGTAGAACGTGTCATATGCATTGAAACTTCTCATAACATGTGAAACTGGGTGAAGAGCAAAGAATAGGATGTGGGGTGAAAACGGCCCCAGCATGTCACGTAGGAGTCTACAAAATGAAACCCACTGATCTGTACCACCAGTCAAAAACACGAGCAAGACAAAAGAAAGACATCTACAGTGGATGTACAGACTAATCTTACTATGTGTTCCCCAAAATTGCAGGAACTCAGATTAAGGATGATGTACCTAAAGAAGCTATAAGTAAATAAAGAAATCTAAACAAAAAAATGAGAGGCATTATGCTTTGAACAACAGTAAAATCAGCGATTAGAAAAAACTTGTGGTACTGACAATCAGGACATTGCACTCGCCAGGCAGGCACTGTGCCACTGAGTTATATCCCTGGCCCTAAAAAAAAAAAAAATCTTGAAGTTATATAACTTAATTCCAATTAACAAATACATCTTTAACTTTTGTATACATTTTCCCTCAATAGAAACAAATATAAGAAACTACAAACAGGAATTTATTCCTTTATGACTGCCAAACAAATGTATTCGGTACGATTACCAATTAATTGGAAAAGTAAAAATACATATTACTTACTGTATGTGAAGCTTGGAAATTTCAAAATGATTTGAAAACTTTCATCCTCAAAGTATTCCTACAAAATGCATCTGTGGAAGAAGAAAAAAATCCAAGAGTAAACAATTTAGCGAGGTCACAGAAAACTAATCCAGATCAACGCACATTTAAACAATATATACTTTAACAACATAAAAAATAAAGTTTGCAAACTACAGATTATACATCTAGCAAAGTCTAATGGGCTGATGAACAGAAATATCCACAATTATATGCAAATATCCTCAACACCAGCCTAGGAGAACATTCATAAGTAAGAGGTAAGAAGAGTGTGCACCCTGGTTTCACAATTATTTGTAAGTACACAGTAACTGCAGAATATCAAGAGAACATAAAAGCAATTCAAACACAGGGAAGGCTTATAAGTAAATGTAGTTTTAGAGCTGATGTGATTATTCAAACAATACAAGTGTTCAAAATGTCCTTTTGTTTGACAGATGAAGATCAGAGTTAGAGGAGAATTTTGCTTGATTAATCTAGAGAATTATGCCAACACACTTTATAATTGCATTTCAAATCTAATTGAAAATCATGCACTGAGAGAAAGCAGACATGCTACTCGCACACCTCACAAAAATACACAAACTGATCTACTCTCTGTCTTCTAAAAAATCAATGTGAGTATAAGGAGAAAGTGATTCAACAGTGCTTTATTAATTAATTTGTTCCCTCTAGAGGACAGATATTGGATGAATTCATAACCTATGAAGCTTAAAATATTTCAACTAAAATAGGCTACACTGTTCTTTTGTTCCAAGAGACAAAATACAACCTACTGAAAATAATATATAACCTTGTAAACTATAGTGAGTTATTTCAGACAAATCACACGCACTACAATCAAATAAAAAATCCCCTAAGTAAAAATTTATTTAGGGAAATATTACTTCTCAGTAACCAACCAAAATTGTTCCCACAGAAAACTGAGATTTTCTTGTGCTAAGAAAAAATGCTGGTTTATTAATGTAGAAGTTTGTGATTTTGTGTTCAGCAATACCTATTTTAACCAAACCAACAGTCCAACATTCAAAACAAGCATCCTTATAGGTCTAATTTATTCTCCTCTAGGGGGTAAAAGACAGTGATGGTACTTGTCTCTAACTGGCCTACGAGTGAATGATTATACTGCCCCAAGATACAGAGTCTTTCAAATAAGAGAGGACCAAATATACTAAGCAAGCTCAGAACTAAATGGAAAAGTAAATCAAAAAATTCCATAGAAACTGGTATTTTCATAATACTCATTTTTCTAAATTTAGAACTGAATGGAAGAAACAAATTCATCTTCATATATAATTTCCATAGGATTAAGTAGCAGCATTTACCAGATCTGTTTATTGCTTCATGTGTTAACACGTTCATTCTCAAAGACAAGAGGACTGATATGAATGCTAATCATGCAACATTCCCACCTTGGCACATCAATAGGACCTCAGCCTGGGCTCAGAACCAGCTTTTTTGACCAGGGCTTCATCTCACAATACCTGCTTCTATGTAGCTTGCAGAGCCAAGGTAACAAACTGGGGGCATAAAAAACATATCTACCAATGACATTTTTCCATAGAATCAGAAAAACAATCTTAAAATTTATATGGAACCACAAAAACACCCAAATAGCCAAAGCAATATTGAACAAAAAGAGAAAAGGACGAGCTATTACACTACATGTCTTCAAAATAAACTACAGAACTTTAGTAATCAAAATACTCAAAACATCCTGGTATTATTGTGAGAAAAAAAACACATACATACAAATGGAACAAAACTGCTGAAAAGTAAACTCATCTACCTACAGCCAAATGATTTTGAGCACTATAAGAACACAAAAGTCTTTTCAGTAAAAGATGTTGAAAAACTTGAGTATCCATAGGCAGAACAATGAATAACCTATTCCTCAACAGTTACCAACAATTAAAGACTTAAATATAAGACCTGAAACAAGAAGGTGCTAGAAGACAAGAAATGCTTCAAAACACTGATAGAAGCAAAACCCCAAAAGCAGCAAAACCCCAAAACCAAAGCCAAGAGACCAATTGGACTTACTCAAACTAAAGAGGTTCTGCACAAGACAAGAAAAATACCAACACAGTGAACAGACAACCTACAGAATTAGATAAAATATTTGCAAATTACACTTCTGACAAGAGGGTAATATCCAGAATATATAAAGAATTCTAAAAACTCAGTAAAAACAAAAAACAAATGGCAAGAAATCTAAATAGACACCACACAAGAAGATACACAAATGGCCAACACATAAATAAAAATAAGCAACATCACTAATCATAAAGGAAATACCTGTCAAAGCTAGAATGAGATATCACCTCACCCCAGTAAGAGCACCTATTATCAGAAAAACTAACGTAACAAGTGCTAACAAGGACGTGAAGAAAAGAGAACGCCTGGCCAGTGTTGACGGGAATGTAAATTAGTACAGCTCCCATGGAAAAGAGTACAGAGGTGCCTGAAAAATTAAAACTCCAGCCTCCAAACGACCCAGCAATTCCACCACTGGGTAGATATCCACAGAGGAAATGAAATCAGTATGCCAAAGAGACATCTGACTCCCGTGTGAACTTCAGCAATGTAAATAAAGCCTAAGAAATGGGAGAGAACCTGAGCAGCTGCCGGCTGACGCAGGGACCGAGACAACGCGGTGTACACTGTGGCGCATGATGCAACGGTGTCTGGCCATTAGAAAGAATGGGATCTCGCCACTTGCAAGGGTATGGGGCGCGAGAGTGTAAGTGAAAAAGAAGCCATGTAGGCAAATGTATGAGGGCACACCCACACGTGGAAATTAACAAGACTGATTTCATAGACCTCAAGAGTAGAATGGTGGCTGCAGAAGGAGGGAAGAGAAGGCGAGAGAGAAGGCCAGCAAGGGCTGTCAAGGAGTGAGGGAGAGTAAGAAATTCTGGGGTGCTGCTGCACAGCAGGACACACAGGGATAATGCCAACGTGACGGAGGAGTTTGCATGCTGCCAGCACCAAGAGATGGTGCACGTTTCAGGGACAGTTTTACCCAGAGTGTTAGCACTACGCAGTACACACATAGGGCAAACGGTCACACGCTATCCCAGAAACAGGCTATTTTTATGTATCTACTTTTTTATGAGTCTATTTTAAAGCAAAATTTAAACTAAGAAAACTATCTCCCTCTTACATTTCTTTGTCAAGGTCTTTAAAGATATTAGATGGTATTAAAAAAATGCGAGTCTTTTCATAAAAATCCTTATCTGCAGCATTTTTTGAAAGACTAAGATTTGTAGGTTGCCCATGCATGGGACAGGAAGATAGCTACCAATGGGGCATATGCTTGCTCCATTCACCTCGTCCTTGCTTTTGCAAACTTTTCTGCACTGCTAGTCTCAAGCATTGGAAGGTATTTGCTTTAGATTTCTTTCTTGTGAACTACAGGAAGAACTTTTTTCCTACTTTGCTCAAAATGCTTATTTGGTAAGTTGAAATAACTCCTTATAATTCTGCAAATCACTAGTTTCCCCAAATCAGGTGTTATTTATTAGTCACCCTGTTTTAATTTATATACAAGTTTTAAATTCCTGAGTTTAAATTTCCATTTATTAAATATATATTTGACAATTTTCAAAGGGAGAAGGTTACTAACACCAGTGACTGGTAAATCAATAGAATCAACAATCTTAAATAATGACCTCATTGACTGTAGATACGTCTTCTAAAGAGATACTTCCTGAGCTAACAGATGTATCACATAATAAAATAATTATAATGATAAAGATGGAAGCTTCCATTTAATTAAATGAATACTGAATGGTAAAGGAGAAGCTATGTAACTCATAAATTTTGACCAAACTGTTACATCGCTAATGTTTTAAAGTGAATATATTTTACAGACAATTTAAAAAACATGAGCCTGGAATTTTGGGAGCACAGGTAATAAAGCCTGAAATTAAACTATCTATTAGAATATTGTTGAAAAAATATAAAAAACAAGAAAGAAAAACTGTTTTATTGAGCATAACAGAAAGACAGTAACGAAAATATAGTTACCTATAAAAAGAAAATTAACCACCAAATATCAGTGGAGTTAGGTGTCAAATTGTCACCATGTACATCAGAGGTATTTTATAGAAGTTCTAGGAAAACTGAACTGGAGGGTGAAGGAAGGAAAGATCCTACAAGTGATGCAAAAATCACTAGCAGAAAGTCTAATCGAACCATGAAGATAATGAAAAAGTTATCCTGGGAAGAATATGGGCACAAGGAGAAGATTTCAAATACACTGAATTCCTCTCCAAATGCAACAGCAGCCTGTAACCCTGCCTGCTTCTCATTGGAGGTCGATGTTTGAGAGGAACATTACATCTTTCCAGTCTAGCCCATAGGTCTGAGCGAGGCCTCTAAATACCTCAATGTACTTATCAGAGTCATCTAGAAATTTTCCAAGGTCTAACTTTATCTGTTTTAGGTCACTGAGAGAAAAAGGCACAAGAACTCTGGTAGTTCCAAACTGTCCATTTACTTCTTGTAATGGATACCGTCCTTGAGGAGCTTGCCTAAACTCAGCTAAGGATGGGTATAGCCCTGTAGAGGCCTGGATTACAGCTGGTCAGAAGCCCCATCCTCTAGCCTAGAAGGCAAGTAGGGGAAACCTGAGGTTCTGTAATGGTGAGTGAGGCTTTGATTAAGGCTGTCTTGTCCTCAGGCTCCAAAGATTGGGGAGGAGCAGTCTCAGGCTCTAGGATGGTGGATGCCTTAAGAGTCTGAGGTGTTCCATTTCCCTGTGCAAACTAAATAAGGATTATTTCTTAATGCAAAGAAAATTTGAACATGGTGCACTTCTGACCTTTTTCCTTCCTTCTTACAGTATCTTTCCAGTTGTAAAATAGCATCATAATTAATACTTCCCCCTGCATTCCATTTTGGCTCTAGGTAGGCTTTTGAAGATCCGCATGACCAGGCCTCTCAGTTGACGTGGACAGTGCTTCCCCAAGGGTTCAGGGACAGTCCACATCTTTTTGGGCAAGTGCTTTCCCATGACTTGGCATGC